CGCTTGTCCCGCTCGGGGGCCGACTCGGGGCAATCATGTGAGATACAACCCTGGGCGGCCTGGACGCGTCAAGACACATAGTTCCACCTCGGGGCAACAATGTGAGATCCCCCCCTGCCTCCTCACAGACGAGGCTCCCGCTCGAGACATACTCTGAATTTCCCCCCGAAGAGGCCCCCGCTTGAGACTTCCCCCAACTCTGCAAAACCAGCGTTTCGCCTGATACATTCTCAACACATCCCACCAGCCCTTCAGTCTAGGGGTTCCATCTTCCAGCCCCCCCTTCTTCCCTTTCTGGGAGGGGTTTGTCCCTCCCCCTATCAGCCCCCTGGACCTGGTCCGGTGGGGTCGCGACCCGTTGGAGCGTCCAAGAAGGCCTTCGCCGTCGCTCGCGGCCGGAGCGAAGGGGGAGGAGGAGGAGGAGGAGGAGGAGGAGGGGGAGGAGGAGGAGGAGGAGGAGGAGCAGGGGGAGGAGGAGGAGGAGGAGGAGGAGGAGGAGGAGGAGGAAGAACAGCCAACCAGCAGGAGGCGGAGGGCTCCGACCTCTGACGACTCGATATGCGAGTCTCGGGCCTCCACCAGTGGTGACGACGACGACGACGACGACGACGACGACGACGACGACGACGACAACGGCGACGACGACGACGAGGGAATGGATGAGTAAGTGCAGATCGATGTTAGGGCCATGCTTGGAAGCTCGTGGTCTGTTGGGAGCCTCTCGGGACAGCGTGCGCTTCCTGGGCCTCCGTTCGGCCCTCCTTGGGCAGGCGAGGAAATGTCGTCGGACATCGCGGTGCTCTTGTGGCTATCCCGAGGTCGCTTTCTGCGATCTTCGAGCCGAATTTGGTATGTCTTGGGTCGTTCTGGAGCGTTGACCACTAGTGGTTTGAATTGGTCTCGGCCATCTTAACTGTCTCTTGGGGCCCTCGTGTGGCTCGCTTGGGGATGGCTTGGGGCCGAATACAAAGGAGGCGAACGGGTGACGCCGACACCGTGCCTGGGCCGTGGGTCAGAAGCAGATTGGATGCTCGTTGGGGTCTTTTGGGAAGCTTCCAGAGAACCTCTTCGAGGCAATGGTGATGCCCGGGGGCCTCGTGGGAGGAGCGAGCCGCCCCCTGCCGACATGGTCCCCTCGAGGCGCCAAAAGAGCTCCCAGACGCCCTGAACTGGGGGGGGGGGGGGGGGGGGCAAATCCGGGAGGGCGTGCCGGCCGGGGCCCTGGGTCCCCTGTACCCTGGTAGATGTAGCATTTCATAGACATCATATACAAACATTATATATATGTGTATATGCACATGTATAAACAATATATATATATACATATACATATATATATAATCATACGTATACGTATAAAGTATATATGTGTAAACATATAGTACATCCACATATACATATATATGGATATATATATATATATCGCAACTGTATGGTTGCATAAATATGTTTATTACCCTACACAGCCATCTACATTATATGCGTAGCGGAATACATAACACTATACATGTGTATACATATGTATGTATACATCTATACATCGAGTGTCGAGAGGAAGAGGGAGAGAGGAAAAAAAGGACAGGCCGAGAGAGAAGGAGAAACAGATCAATAGATCGATGGTGATAGTAATACTGTGCCAGGGCCTGTGCTGTGCTCCTATGTTCGGCGCCGCACGATCACATGCCAAGGGACGCGCCAAGGCACGTATCAGGGGACGCGCCGCGGGAAATGCCAGGGGGACGCGCCGCGGAATGTCCCGAGGGACACGCCAGGGGACGTGTCAGGGGAATCACCGCGGGACGTGCCGAGGGGACGCGCCAGTGAAGGTGCCAGGGGACGTGCCAAGGCACGCACCGCGCGACGTGCCAGCGGGACGCCCCACGGAACGTGCCAGGAAACGTGCCGGGCGACCCACAAGCGCACGTGCCAAGGGACACGTCAGGAAACGCGCCACAGGACGTAGTACGGGACGCGCAAGGGGACGCACAAGGAACCACTGTAGAAAACAGGGTTTGGGCACCTGGTGTCTCCTGGGGCCTCCTGGGACCTCCTGGGCCCTCCTGGGGCATTATTGTTCCTCCTGCGGCCTCCTGGGGCCCCCTGGGGCCTCCAGGGACACCTGGAGCCTCATGGGGCCTCTTGGCTGGGGCCTCCTGTGGCCACCTGGGGCCTGTTGGGCATACGGGCGAAAGGAGCTCGTGTAAAAGCACATGGTTTGGGGTCACGGGCGCAAGGAACCCATGTAAAAACACTAGGCTTGGGCTCATGGGCGAAAGGAGCCAACACAAAAACTCCTGGTTTGAGCTCACGGGCGGAAACAACCCACTGAACAACACATGGTTGTGGTTCACAGGCGGAAAGGAACCCATGTAAAGACACAGGATGAAGGCTCACGGGTGATCGGAACCTATGAATTAAAAAACAGATGCTCTTGGGAAACGGGCGGAAGGAACACATGTAAAATCACTGGGCTTAGGCTCACGGGCGAAAAGAACCAATGTAAAGAACACATGTCTTGCGCTCGCGAACGAACGGAACCCATGCAAAAACACGTGTTCTGTCCAAGGGCTAAAAGAACCGTTAAAAACATTGGTTTGGGCTCAAGGGCGAAAAGAACCTATTCTGAAGACACGTAGTTTGCGCTCACGGGCGACTGAAACCCATGCAAAAACATATCGTGTTGGCTCACGGGTGAAAAAAAACGCATAGCTTAAGGTTTCCGACCACGGAAACCACGTTAAACAAACATGGCTTGGGCTCACGGGCGAAAGGAGGCCATCTAAAAACAACTGGTTTGAGCTCAAGGGCGCAAGGAACCCATGTGAAAACAGATGGTGTCGGCACACGTGCAAGAAGAGCCCCTGCAAAACATGCGTTTCGCTTGAAAAATACTCGGCACGTCCCAATGTTACACATCCGCCTTGGCGAGCTGGGCACCTGAAAACAAGGACGTCGCCCGAGACATTCTCCACAGATCCTCGTGTCAGTCTTGTCTCGCTTTGATGCGTCAGAACCCCCGTTTGTTCAAGCTTGTTCCACCCTAAGGCGTCAGGAACGCACGTGGTTTCACGCTCGTCCCGCTCGGGGGCGTCAGGAACCCATGTGATGTCACGCTTGTCACGCTCGGGGGCGTCATCAACCCACGTGTTTTCACGCTAGTCCCGCCCTGGGGCGTCAGGGACCCATGTATGTTCACGCTTGTCCCGCTCGGGGGCCATGTGATGTCACGCTTGTCACGCTCGGCGGCGTTATCAACCCACGTGTTTTCACGCTAGTCCCGCCCTGGGGCGTCAGGAACCCATGTATGTTCACGCTTGTCCCGCTCGGGGGCCGACTCGGGGCAATCATGTGAGATACAACCCTGGGCGGCCTGGACGCGTCAAGACACATAGTTCCACCTCGGGGCAACAATGTGAGATCCCCCCCTGCCTCCTCACAGACGAGGCTGCCGCTCGAGACATACTCTGAATTTCCCCCCGAAGAGGCCCCCGCTTGAGACTTCCCCCAACTCTGCAAAACCAGCGTTTCGCCTGATACATTCTCAACACATCCCACCAGCCCTTCAGTCTAGGGGTTCCATCTTCCAGCCCCCCCTTCTTCCCTTTCTGGGAGGGGTTTGTCCCTCCCCCTATCAGCCCCCTGGACCTGGTCCGGTGGGGTCGCGACCCGTTGGAGCGTCCAAGAAGGCCTCGGCGAGAAGCAACAAATCCATGATTTTCCAGAAAGGTGTGAGCCCCATTTTTGCGTCTCGGGGGGGTGGGGGGGGGGAAACATATGTTACAGCAGAGTCCCGAGAAGGCCCCCGAGATGGCCCCCAAGACTCCCAAGAGTGCCCCAGGGAGAAGGACGAGGAGGAGGACGAGGAGGAGGCGGAGGATGAGCAGGAGAAATAGGAGGAGGAGAAGGAGGAGGAGGAGGAGGAGGACGAGGACGAGGAGGCCCCAAGAGGCGCCCAGAATGCCCCAAAGGGTCCCCAAGAGGCTGCCGAGAGGCCCCCAAGGGGCCCCGGACCCCCGGGAGACCCCCAAGAGGCCGAAGAGACGCCGAAGGGTATGCAAGAGGCACCTGGCCACTCTGCTCGCCCTTCTCCTCCTCCTCCTCCTCCTCCTCCTCCTCCTCCTCCTCCTCCTCCTCCTCCTCCACCTGTTCCTCCTCCTCCCTCCCTCCTCCATTTTCCCCCTCACTCTCTCTCTCCCCCATTCCTTCCTCCTCCTCATCCTCCAATTCCTCCTCCATCCTCCCCCTCTTGGAGTATGACGGCTTCCCCAGCCCGCTATTTCACTGCATGCTCATCCACATGCCTGATCAGACCAACTCGCCTGGGTCATCGTTTCTGGATGGGCGGCTGGGCTTACGCAAAACGTGCAGAAGCATGTAAAACAAGCGTTTCGCTCAGGGCCTCCTCAACATGCTGATTCGCAGATTGAGGCCCGGGGATTGGTTTACCTACGAACCCTGCTGGATCCCGGCCACTTCCAGGAAAAAGTCAACTTGCGAAAGCCCTCGACCATGCGCCGATGCCCGGCGCCGATGCCCGGCGCCTGGTCGTGCTCCTGTCGATTCCTCGCCGATGCGCCGTTGCCTGGCGCCTGGCTAGACTCGAATCGGCCATGCGGTCACACTCACTCTGCTGGAGACCGTAGGAGGCTGCCCTGGAGCCACTGCAGCCCCCTGGTCTGCTAGATCCAAGGCCCTGAAACCGGCCGACGCCTCGCGCAGAAGACAAAACGCAGTAGTCGAATCGATCGAATCGTAGGCAGCCTTCCAAGAGTAGCTATAAAATTGCGATCCCCTCCTTGCGACGCTGTCAAATGATGTGAACGCGCAACTACCTGAACACGTCCTGGTGCAACAGGGTAGGGAATCCTGGTCGCGAAGCGCGCTTCGCGGACTTTCCGGCGCACCAGACTCTGGAGGCTGTGTGACGCTGGTAAGGGTAACCGCCCTCGCGCGCTCTGTCCGTGGCACCCAGCTGGCGAAGAGGGCGGCCACACACGGCATCATTGGGCCCTGGACCAAGCCCATGACCTCAGCTCCACTCTGGCAGTCTCGCTCATGCGACCATTGACATCGCCTCCGATCGCGAGATCTCCCGCCCAGCGCAGATATACCCGTACGAAACAGCCGTGCCAAGGCCAGGTTGGTCAGCGAGGGGGATCGTCCATCCGCGGTGGACACTCGGATCGCGCCGCCGAGAAGGCTGCGAACAACGTGGCGAACAGCAGCGTCGGAGAGGTCCGCCCTCCCCAACTGGAGAAGAGGTAAGCTAAGTATGGCCAAGTGGATGCCAGGGCTCCCAAAAGGGAAAAGGGCAGAGGGATGTGGCAGGAGAGGCTGAGAAGAAAGGAGGGATGGGAAGATTTGTCGGGCGCTGCGGGAGCATCGGGCAACATGAGCGCCAACCCACTAACGACCTGATCATGATGCTGCCCGGATACCCCTGAGCATCTCTGGTTCTGCTAGCTTTGGTTCTGCGCTGGGGAAGACTCTAGTGAAGGGGCCCCAGGACACACAAATAAATACACACAAATCTGTGTCTGTGTGTTTTTTTCCCTCCTGATCTAGAGGGACCTGCTCAGGGGGGGAAACTTCGAGCTGGAACCGGCGATACATCGCCGATTGATCGGCGATAGGCCGCTCCCGACAGCGAATCCGCACGGTCCTGCGCGGGGCTGGGCTATCGCGCACCACTCGGCGATCCCTGCGCAATGCATCCCCCCCTGAGCCCCTCCCCCCCCCGTTCCGTTGCCCCAGAGAGCGTCTCAATTGGTTCAAGCTTCGTGAAGGGGCCCTGGGACACACACACACACACACACAAATGAATGCACGCAAATAAAAGGATTCCCCATATTTTCTGGGTTTTTGTCTTCCCCCCACTTCCCACATTTTCCCATATTTTCTGGGGAATCGACGATTAATTGTGTCTGTGTGTTTTTTTCCCCTCCTGACTTCGGTTCTCCACGTGGGGCCGGCGGGCAAGACCGCAGCCCCGAAGATGTCCGCGGCCTCTGGCGCCGACATCGCGGCCAGGCTCCACACCGCCAGCGCGCTGCCCAGCACGCGCCGCGGCCCCAGCCGCTGCGCCACCAGCCCGCCGGGGATCTGCGTGCAGATGTAGCCGGTGAAGAAGGCGGAGAGGATGCGCCCGCGCTGGGGGGCCGCGGGGGGGGGGGCGGGGGGTGCTGCGCGGCCTGCTCGCCCCCATCCCCCGGATGCCGAGGGCCTCGTGTATAGGCAGGAGGTCGGCGACGGGGTGTCGGTGTCGGCATGCTGCTCCCCCAGCTGTCGTCCTCATCCTGCTCCCACTACCCCAGTCTCCTCCCCACCTGCCCCCGTGTCCCGCCCCCTCTGCTCACTCTCCCTCTGCCCATGCTCCATCCTGCTCCCCCATATCCCCCTCCTCGCAAACTGTTCCTCCCCATCTTCTGGGGGGAACAGACAAGATACACGGGCTTCTCCCAGGGTGAGATCTGACCGGGGTTCCACGGGAAACCAGCCGCCGTGACGACGGGGAACACATGGTCCGATAGCTTGGCAGAGCTCTTGCCACGACGTTCGGCCACAAGGGCGATTCCAAAGGGCAGGGGAGCGGCGGTGACACGCCGTGGGCGTCTTCGACAAATAAAAAAGAACTTGTGGAACGAGAGAAAATCGTCGGGAACGTCCAGAATCCTAGACGGCACCAAGAGGGTCCCAAGATGGCACATATGAGCTGGCCTGAGGCTCCCATCTGGAAAGATCCGTCCAGGCACGTTATGGTTGCCCGCTGGGCCTGATCAAGCCCATCCTGATCTCGGTTTGACGGCTGACCCCACTGCTGGCTTTTACACTTCCATGATCGTGGCAACTCGCCTAAGCATCGCTTCTTGGAGGCCTAGAAATGGGCACCAGCACCAACACAGGGGTCTGCCTCCACACAGGGAAGATGATCCTAGATTTCGGTGTTGGTGGCAATATGTCGGTCACCTTGGAAGCCCGAACATTACCACCATCACCGAGATCAGGATCCTGTTCCCTCAGTGGAGGCACACCGCCGATATTGGTGTTGGTGTCAATCTCTAGGCCTGCGAACATTTCTGGGTGGGCCGGTGGGAACACGCGCAGCGCCAAGCACTGATGCAGACCCAGAGCTTCCCCAACGAGACGGGCCTCCCTCGAACGTCCCTGCGGCTCCTGGACGGTCGGGGGCCTCGACAAGATGCATCGGCAACCCCTCCCCGATCATATATATATATATATATGTGTAAATTCATTAATACTAACAACAACAACAACAACAACAACAACAACAACAACAACAACAACAACAACAACAACAACAACAACAACAACAACAACAACAACAGCAACAGCAACAGCAACAGCAACAGCAACAGCAACAGCAACAGCAACAACAACAGCAACAACAACAACAACAACAACAACAACAACAGTAACAGCAACAGCAACAGCAACAGCAACAGCAACAGCAACAGCAACAACAACAAACATGCATATCACCACAGCTGGCAGCCAGCCGGGCCGCACGAGCCAGCAAACGGAAGGCGCGCAGTGTCCTCCTCCATGCTCCAGCCGAGCTCCTTGCCGCAGGAGGCAGATGCTGCCAGGGCGGGGTGTCAGAGGCGCACAATCGAAGATCTGCTGGTCTTAAGAGATCACATCGAACATGCACAAATATGTTTTGAAAGACGATGCGAACACTGGAGAGACAAACTAACATATGCATGGTCGACTGGCCAAAGGGATATCCCGCGCCGCTCATTCGTCTGACGCTTGCCTTCCCTCTCCTTCCGGTCTCTCGCTACTACGGTGTGTTCGTCATCCACTGTGTCTTACGACAGTGTACAGACACGCAACCCTGAAACCCAGAAAAGTAAACGTTGCGGATTGTGGGCAAGACACAGACACGGCACAAAATAAAATGTTTGATGGTCATCCCTGCTCATCCACTACCGCGTCGTATCGTACGCACCGAGTGGAGTGTCCTCGGGTCTCTGAGGGTACGCAGTACTCTTTCGGAGCCCTGGACCCCATTAGACGCTCGTTCTGGGCAGCTTCCTGAAGCCACTCGCTGCACTTATGCGTCGATGCTGCGTCGAACGTCCGTCGACCTGAGTCGAACTTGAGTCGAACCTGAATCGAACCTGAGTCGAGCTAGAGTCGAACTAGAGTCGAACTAGAGTCGAACTAGAGTCGACCAAATCCGTCGGGTGGCCGCCAGGAAGGTCCCCAGAACGAGCACCTGAGCCCCGTGTTCACGGTGACTCCTGCGCGCCTCTCTGCTCTCTCGGGGTTCCCCGCGTGACATGCCTCGAGACCTCGGGAGCGTGGTCGGGAGCACGCGCCTCTTGGGGGTCCCAAAACCGTATGGTGACAGACCCGGCGGTGACCACGAAATCCCGAAAGACCTCACCGCAGGGTCCGTCATCACACGGTTTTGGGACCCTGGAGGCCCCAGTCGCCCGAGTGATCCTCCAAGAACGACTCAAATCCCAAAACCGCGGGGTGACCCCGTATTCCCATCGACTCACTACACAGTGTGGTCACCACCCCGTATCCGTTTGGGGGCCCCCGAGCTTCTCACGCGTCCAGCGACGGAACCTGGGGGACCAGACCTTCCTGGACTCTCTCTGGGGGGCCTCGCGGGCCGTCTTGGAAGCACCCGGGGCCAGCCCGAGAGGACAGTGTCGTCGGAGCACGTCAGGCTTTTCTACGGTTCGGCCACATCTTTGGTGTGCTCTTCACAAAAACCTCTTCCTCCTCCTCCTCCTCCTCCTCCTCCTCCTCCTCCTCCTCCTCCTCCTCCTCCTCCTCCTCCTCCTTTTCCCCCGTCCCCCATCCTCCTGCCTCCTCTTGTTTTGCCGCCAGCCCACCGAAAAAAACTTGCTTTTCACACTCACGATCCCAACAAAGGCCCCTGCAAAGCCATCTTGAAAAGTTGTACCTCACTGCGTAGCGGTCTCCACTGACAGTGAAGTCCACACCTCAATCAGGATCCCACTTCAGACCAGCGCCCTCCAGCTCCCTCTTGGTGGTATAGCTCATCATCTCTGCGTATCCACCGTTGTCGCCTGGCCAAATGCGAGACGCACGGACATGCTCAACGTCGGGGTCGTCCAGATCCCAGATGGTTCCGCAATACAATGCAATGGAGAACTCGGCACAGCACCAGCCTCGGATCTTGTAAAGAGCGCTGTCGACTATGCCCCACACGTCGCCGCCAGCGAGCGTGGTGTCCAAGGTCGGAAGGACGAGCACCTCACACTCATGGAAAGGAAAAAGCCTTCTCATCTCCCACATTGCAAACTTGAACTGCTGGTCTTCGCTGCGGGTTCGTGCTGGATTATAACTGCTGTTGCTTTTCTGGTAATATGGCTGAGCCGACGCATCACGTGCTGGCAAACCCTCTGCTGGCTCATTATTTGTATAGGTCCTGCCCATGTTGCTATCTTGCGGGTAAAAGCAGAAGTCGAAAAAGACAACGTTGCTGTCTTTGACTCCAAGCTGGCCAAGCTTCTCCACCAAACGCCGCATCTTGCTCCCACTCGGGTTCGGGTGAACCTCAGTATCCCAGCCATGCGACACGACGAACTTGCCGACGCCACTTGGGGGGGCGCCAACCAAATATCATCCCGAATGCATCTCCTGACGGCGAGGAACTGGTCCTCCTCGCCGAGCTAGCTCCCTAACGTACGAAACCATCAGCCAGGCAATCTGGGACTGGCAGCAGAAATGAGCAAACCCAACGACGTCCCTGGGAATCGGCACTAACTCCTTGAGAGATGTCACGAGTACGTTCCACGGAGCCTTGGTGGTCCCGCCCAATTGCATACAATTCTTTCGCATGTTCAAGCCGAGCGGGGTCAGTACCTGTCTGAATCAGCTTCTGTGCTTCGCTGTCGCTTATTGAGACTGACAATTCGCTGGCAGTACGCAACAAGAACCACGTCCACCGTGCAGCATTTCCGCTCGAAGAACGGCCGGACTCCGTGGTCCACAGCCGCTGTATCATACAATCGCGGCAACAATACGGTCCGAATTTTCCAATGACAGAGCAGTGGTTCGAACGTCCTGTTGACAGCCTGGGAAAGCTTCACCTCGGAACAAGCTTCAGGTGCTTCGTGAAAGACGTGTTGCCCGGTGGCCGTTGCTACAAAAATATTGGAGGACAAAATGAACATCAGATCGCCATCCTCTGCACTCTCTTGTTCGAGAACGGCGAACAATTCCCAGAGAACAGATCTTGAATTCTGATACGCGTAAATGGTGTAATACAGCTGGCACTCATTTGGTGGCGCACCCCAGTGGCACGACCCAGGAATGCGGTCAAGCTCGTGGCGCCAATGCAAACTCAAATTCCTCTGACACAGATGCCTGAAAAATCTGACCTTCCAACTAAGCTATGGCATAACAAGTGTCAATGTGCTGATTTGCCCAGGCGTAGAAACCAAGTGTCTCATATCTCCTGTCGGGATTGAAATGTGCCGCGGGTTTCGGCTTCAGTATTACACACGCCATGATACCAACGTGCTAGACCACACATACGGCTGAAACGAAACCACTATGAATTTATCGCGCCACAACAATGGCGCGAGACCAAAGGCTAGAGCCAAAACGGCTACGGAAGCCCACTGAACAAAAAAACACGATCGGCCCACGAACCCAGAGAGGGAGTTTGAAATGTGAGGCATGGTAACGTTTCCAGGACACCCGACTGGGCGACGGGCAACTGCAGTGGTGAAGATATCGATCGTGATGTACGGTACCACTGGTCGTGCTGTGCAGTGCCGTGGTAAGTTGAAATGTGTCATGCCCCGATGGGTCACGATGTGCTCTGTACTCTGGGTCTCTTAATAAGCGTGAGAGGGTCCCCCCCCAACGGGGGTCCATCTCGCCTCGTCGTCGCGCCGCGACGGGGGTCGGGGTGCCTTCGGCGCGCGGTGGCTGCCCGCGACGGGGGTCGATGTGGGGCTGTCGGCGAGGGTTGCGTCCCCCGACGCGTAAAGAAATTCGGAGTAGCGCTCAGGATCATGTAGCCCTGGATCCTAAGCTTGAGTTGCCCGAGCGCATAGCTGGCCCAGAGCTGGTTGCAGTCGAAACGTGCGAGACGACCAGTCGGGTCGAGCTCAAGGTCCGACTCAGCTCCGACGAGGGACGAGACGACATGGGGCGCAGGGCGCATGGGCACGCCACGGGATGTGCCAGGTGCGCACTGGGGCGTGCGCCAGGGGGCGCGTCAGGGCACGTATCAGGGGACGTGCTGTGGACATGTCAGGGACCTGCCCTGGGAAGTGCCAGGGCGCGCGCCATGGGGCGAGCCAGAGGATCTCTTGCCGGGGGACGCAACCACGGGACGCCCCAGGGGGCGTGGCAACGGACGAGCCAGGGGACGTGGCAAGGGACGCGCCACGGAACGGGCAGGGGAAGCGCCCGGGGACAAGCCAGGGAGCGCGACAAATGACGAGCCAGGAACGTGCCACGGGCCGCGCCGAGGAGCGTGCCAGGGGGTGTGCCAGGGGACGTCGTGCCAGGGGACGTCCTGCCAGGGGACGCGCCACGGAACGTGGCAAGGGGACGCGCCACGGAGCAGGCAGGGGCGGCGCGCCAGGGGACGAGAGAACGCGTCAGGGGACGAGCCAGGGAACGCGCCACTGGACGCGCCAGTGGACGAGGAGGAGGGGGAGGAGGAGGAGGAGGAGGAGGAGGAGGAGGAGGAGGAGGAGGAGGAGGAGGAGCAGGAGGAGGAGGAGGAGGAGGGGGAGGAGGAGGAGGAGGAGGAGGACGAGGAGGAGGAGGAGGAGGAGGAGGAGGAGGACGAGGAGCCAGGGGACGTGGCAGTTGGAGCGCCAGGGGATACGCCAGAGAAACATGCCAGAGGGCGCGGCAGGGGAGGCGCCGCGAAACGTGCCGGGGGGCGCGCCGCAGACGTTCCAGGGGATGCGCCAGTCAAGGGACATGCCAGGGGACGCGAGAGGGGCGGGTGCCATGGAACGCACTACTTACCCAGGGGGCCAGGGACAATGAAACATAACCATACGACAGAGAACCTGGGCCCGCCCCTTCCAAACAAAACATCGGCAGACACGGTGGTGTTCACAGCTCGGGGCCCCGAAGGGGGGGGGGGGGAGCACAAGCCGGCGCCCAGAGCCCCTCTGGTGGCAGGATGGCCCCCGCCACCGCCCAGAAGCCCTCAAGAGGCCCACAGGGGTGCCCCAAGAGGCTCCAGGAGGCCTCCAAGAAGCCCCCATGAGGTCCCCCAGAGGCCCCCAAGAGGAGCCCCCAGAGCCCCCACGATGCACCCAAGAAACTCCGAAGAGGTACCCCAAGAGACCTCAAGAGGCATCCCAGATGACTCTGGTCCCCAGCCCAGGCATGGTGGCGGGATAGGACGACGACCAGCGCCAAGCTTGTAGTCCCAGGTTCAGCTGTCGCATGATGTGTCGCGCTTAACTTGAATGAGATGTTGGCCTGGCTCACTCAAAGGTTCTAGCTATGAGTTTCGTAAGCGTTGACGCAGAAGGTACACGTTGAGCAAAGTGCAGACAGCACGTCAATGGTAGAGGTTCTGGGTGCACCTGGACGAGCAGCTAGACGCACAGCTCAGGAGAACGGCCGAAGCTCCGGCTACTCCAGAGTGAAAGCGAGAGGTAAAACCCAGATTGGTTCTTTACGAATGGATGGCTAGATGTTACAGACTGGCCACCCAGGCTGGAGATGCTTTTTCTAGCGCTGCGGCAAGCACAAAGTCTGGGCCCGCACTGAGAGTGGTCCTTGCCTTTCCAGATCCACATCGGGGGGGAAACATCCACTTGGCCCTTTGGATACGACCGCGGAACTGGATCGCTGCCCGCTGTGCTGGGCTGACCCCTCTAGGCCCGTGGTGCCGAGCACTTGAGCTGGAACAGGTCCAGAGATCAGACGAGCAGCTTCAGCATGCGTGTCGCCCTCACTGGGGGCCTTCGCAGATCTCCAGCTCTGCCCTTCCGACCTTACCCCTCCTCAGCAGCCTCGTCCTCCTCCGCAGCGCCAAGAAGAGCGAAGCCCCTTGCGCCCCGTCCTCGGCCATGGGGACCACCAGAAGGCCCGCCGCGGCGCGGTCCAGATACCCCACCTCTAGAGGCCAGATTCGAACTGAGGACGAGAAAGAGACACAAACACAACACACACACACAAACACACACTGTGAGAGAGAGAGGGAACTAAGAGAGAGAGAGAGAGAGGGATAGAGAGAGAGAAAGAAAGAGAGAGAGAGAGAGAGAGAGACACAGATAGCTGGACTTGGAGACAGAGAGGAGGGCGGGGAAGGACATGGGAGAAGGAAAGAGTCAGGGAAGGGATGTGAAGGGGGGTGCGGACCAAGACGGGCACGGGAGGAGCAGGGGGAAAAGGAGCAGGAGGCGAAGGTGCGGAAGGACGCCGCCAGAAGGGAAAAGGATGCGGATCGGGGGGGAGAAAGACCGAGTGCATGCAGGCCACAGCCGCACATATTCATTGGCTGGCTGCTTGGCTGGCGGATTGACCGATCCATCGTTTCATTCGCAGGCCTGGAAGCTATGGCCACACACTTGACACCGCGCTTGCTCTGTGGAACAATTGCTTGACCGCTTCTCAAACGCGCGCTGCCTGGATCAGAGCAGGGCGGCACGGCGGCCGCGAGGCGGGACATGTGTATTTACGCAAATGAGCATGAACCTTTATGTTCCGGGACATTGGAATGGGTGTAGGAACGCGCACCCAGGCCAGCCAAGACCGAAAGGAGACGCAGAACCCTGCCTGGACACTGACCTCCATGGCCACCCGGCTGTCCCAACGGAGCCGGGAGACCCTCTGCGCACAACACAGCAGCGCACGGGCGGATACACGGCCGCGCAGTCGAACTCGGCTGGCTGCCATCGCAGCACTGGGCCAAGGGGGGGGCTCCAGAATGGCGTGCAACGCTAGGGACACCCTGGGCCAGGAACATCTCGGAAACACCCAAACCAGAGAAGGGAGGGAGGGAGGGGAGGGAAGGAGGGAGGGGGGGAGGAGGAAGGGGGGGAGGAAGGGAGGGGGGGGAGGGAGGGAGGGAGGAGGGGAGGGAGGGAGGGAGGGAGGGAAGAAGGGAGGCAGGGAGGGAGGGACAGGGAGAGGGAGGAGGAGGAGGAGGAGGAGGAGGAGGAGGAGGAGGAGGAGGAGGAGGAGGAGGAGGAGGAGAGGAGGGGAGGAGGAGGAGGAGGAGGAGGAGGAGGAGGAGGAGGAGGAGGAGGGGGACAGCAGTGCAGGAACAGCCGAACCACTACGCAGACATCCCAGCTCCCGGAGGCCCGCGCGCAGTTCCGGGAGCGGCGCCCGGGCGGCGCCTCCCAGCGCGCCCCCGCGGGCCGGGGAGGGGGGGCCAGCGCAGGTCCGAGAGCTCCGCGCGGACCTCCGGCAGCGCAGGCCAGAACCTCCGCGCGGAGACCCAAGAGATCCAACAGGTCCAAGGAATCCGCGCGGACCTCCGACAGCGCATGCTAGAACCTACGCGCGGAGATCCAAGAGATCCAATAGGTCCGAGAGCTCCGGGCAGACCTCCTGCAGCGCAGGCCAGAACCTCCGCGCGGAGATCCAAGAGATCCAACAGGTCCAAGGAATCCGCGCGGACCTCCGACAGCGCACGCTAGAACCTCCCGCGCGGAGATCCAAGAGATCATCAAGAGATCCAAGAGGTCCAAGAAATCCGCGCGGAGCCGACAGCGCACGCTAGAGCCGCCGACAGCGCATGCTAGAACTCAACAGCGCATGCTGGAACCTCCGACAGATCCACGAAATCCGCGCGGACCTCCGCCCAGAATCTGCAGTTACAGCGCATGCGGGTCTGAAGAACTGGCGCACCCCCCTGCGACGGCGGGCGAACCTCCAAAGGTTTATGTTCATGCAGCTGCGTGAAGAACTAGCGCACTCCCCTGCGACGGCGGGCGGACCTCCGAAGGTGTATGCTCATGCAGCTACCCTTCCCGCCGGCGTCGCCAAGATCGCGTGCCGCACCGATCTGCGAGAAGCACGCCGTCCCTGCGAGGCGGTCCCCCCCCCCCCCCCCCCGGCAGGGCACCTTCGGTGCACGGCGTCCCCCTGCGAGGGCCTCGTCGGTGCACGCGATGCCCCTGCCTCAGGGCCTCCTCGGCGCACGCTGTCCCCAAGGCGGGGACCGCGGGTCACAGGCGGGCTGGCGGCGCCACATCTGAAGGGGCCCTGGGACACACAAATAAATACACACAAATAAAAATATTCCCTATAGTTTCCCCTATTTGGGTTTTTCTTCTCTGCCCCCCCACTTCCCATATTTTCCCATATTTTCCTGGGGATCGACGATGAATTGTGTCTGTGTTTTTTCCCCTCCAGAAAGGCGGGGACAGCGGGTCACAAGCGGGCTGGCGGCGCCACATCGCGCGCCACCTTTGCAACGCCAGCCGCACTCGAAACAGGACGCCAGGGGAAGGGCACCAGGACACACGGAGGACATCAGTCCTCCCGCCGAGTCGAGCGAGCGTGCGCTCCTGCCTGGGAGACGGTCCAGCTGCCGTGGGCTCGCAGGGGAAGAGGGGGGAGGCGAGAAGAAGCCAGTGAGTGAGAGGAGAAGCCAGAGCTCAAGATGGCGAAGGGAGAGGGAGGGTAGATGGAGAGAGTGGGGAGGATGGAGGCGGAGGGAGACATGGGAAGGAAGACGGAGGAGCTCGAGCTCGAGACGGCCCTGTTTCACGCAAGGGCCGTCTGGTTGGCCAAGATCGGCGAAAAGAGGCTGGCTCACAACCTGTGAGGGGCAATGATAGGAGAGCACCGGATTAGAGGGGGAAGCATCGACCTGGAACCGGCGATGCACAGCCGATAGATCGGCGACAGCCCCCTGAAGGCGAAAAGGCGAAACACACGCTCCAGGGCGGGGTGGGCTAATTATCAGGCCCCTACCGGCGATGAACGGGCGGTTGGGAGTCGATGGGATCCCCCCCCTCTAACGTTGACCCCTGTGCTTCCGCCAGAAGCAAGCATGAATCCCCCGAGCTTGTCACCACAATGCGCAGCGGAGAGAGCATGAAACAGGAGGACAACGCAGAGACCGTCAGGCGGGGGCCAAAAGAGGCGCCCACCCCAAGGCGCACCGAGAAGCCTCCCAAAGAGCGGCAACGCGCAACGATGATGCTGGCCTGCTGCCGAGCGAGGGGCCCTGATCCCACCAGCCCTCAAGGCGTAGGTGGTCTAGGGAGGCTCCTCTTCCAACCCCCTTCTCCCCATCTGGGAGGGGTTTATCTCTGTTCCTTATGATAGGGCGACGATATCTATACATATCCACTGCTCCTGGCCAGGCCAATCCTGGGCCCAAGAGCTGTGTATACGCCCTCCTGGCTTGGCCAGGGAGGCATATACACCGCTCCTGGGCCCAGGATGGGCCTGGCCAGGAGCAGTGGATATGCATAGATCTCGTCGCCCTATTATGAATATACACCCCCTCTCCCACCCGGACAGCGGCAACCCGTAACCATGCCGACCCCATGCGGGCCCGCCCCCCACCATCCCTGTCAAAAAACAATACAGAAGGCACTCTGCTTCCACACTTGGAGCATGCGCGGCCAACCCGATGCGGCCCCCCCGACCATCCCTGCCAAAAAAAATGCAAAAAACACCTTTGGGCAAAGCCTTGAATCATGTTCGTGAGGCCCGCGAGCACTTTCTATGGTGTTTGACAGGGACGGCGGGGGTGTCAGCATATTCCCTGCTGCGCGCAGGGCTACCATCCCTGACCAAAAAAACATACACCATGCACATCGCGGCTAAATCTGGATCATGCGCGGCCATTCCGCGATCACTGTCATGTGGTTTTTGCCAGGGACAGCGGGGGCCTGCTGTGCGCAGGCCCACCAGACACAATGATGGGCATTGGTCTTCGACAAGGATGGCGGAGGCCGACATGCTTCCCGATGTGTGCTGTCACGTGCGCAGGCGCACCTGACGTACTCCGCACGTGCCCCGAACGTGGCGCACCTGGCGCGGTTGGAGTGTGCGGCACACATGGCGCACTCGGAGCACGTGGCGCATGTGGCGCACCAGGCGTGCCTGGCGCGCTCGGGCCCCAGGAGTGCCTGGCGCGCGTGGCGCCCCTGGCACGCGTGGCGCACCTCGCCCAAGCGTCGCGCACCTGGAGTCGGCGTTGGTTCCCAGTAGTTGCCCATCCAATGACGACCGCTGAACATGCTCAGGCTCTGGTGTTATTTCTGTGTTGGGAGGGCGGGTGGGAGTTAGCTGGACGGCTTGCGGGCGGGCGGGTAGCTTGACCCCTCCCCTTACCCCCTCCCCTGGACTTGGACGGGGGGGTCCGCGAGAGGTTGGAGCGTCCAAGATGGCCCAAGACGGCGCCAAGAGCGCCTCAGAGAGCCCAAGATGGCCTCGAAGATCGCTCAAGATAGCGCAAGATCGCCCAAGATGGCTTCCAAGATGCTCCAAGAGGCCCCAAGACCGCCCCAAGACGGCTCCAAGTGGACAACGAGCTCCTACAGGAGGCCTCGAAGAGGCCAAAATCCTTCCAAAACCTTAGAAAAATCAATGCGAGTTGCTTTCTCGTAGTTTCGCTTCCGATGGCCATCCGAGGCCTCAAGATGGCTAGAAGATGGCCCAAGAGGGCCCCAAGCCCAAGAGAGCCCCAAGAGAGCCCCAAGAGGGCCCCAAGAGCGCCCAAGAGCGGTCCAAGAGGGCCCCAAGAGCGCCCCAAGAGGCGATTTGAGGACCCCCTAAAGCTCGCAAGAGCGCCCCAAGAGTGCCCCAAGAGGCGCCCAGACGGCCCCAAGAGGCGCCCAAAGGGCCTCCAAGAGGCTCCCAAGAGACCCTCAAGAGGCCTCAGGAGGATCCCCGAGGCACCCAAGACGCTCGAAGACTGCCCTGGGCCCGCCAAAATGCCCCCCCAGACGCCCCACGAGTCCTCCAAAAAGCTTCCAAGAGACATTCGAGGAGACTCCAAGAGGCATTCAAGAGGCTTCTGGCTCTTCTGTTCGCCCTTCTCCTCCTCCTCCTCCTCCTCCTCCTCCTCCTCCTCCGACCCCCTCCTCCTCCTCCTCCTCCCCCTCCTCCTCCTCCTCCTCCTCCCTCCTCCTCCTCTCCTCATCATCATCATCATCATCATCATCATCATCATCATCATCATCATCATCATCACCACCACACCACCACCATCAATCATCATCATCATCATCACCACCACCACATCATCATCATCATCATCATCATCATCATCATCATCATCATCATCATCATCATCATCTCATCATCATCATCATCCTCATCCTCATCCTCATCCATCCTCATCATCATCCTATTCTTCCTCCTCATCCTCCTCCTCCTCCTCCCCTTCCTCATCCTCCTCTCTCCTCCTCATCCTCATCCGCTTACTCCTCCTTATCCTCCCCTCCTCCCTCCTGCCCCACCCCCACCTCCTCCTCATCCGCCGCCTCCTCCTCCTCCTCCTCTTTGTCTTCCTCCTCCTCCTCCTCCTCCTCCTCCTCCTCTTCCTCCTTGTCTTCCTCCTCCTCCTCTTCCTCCTCCTCCTCCTCTTCCGATTGCCGCTCGATGCTCCCCCTCTTGGGGTACGACTTCCTACCCAGCCCCTTTCTGCCACTGCATGCTCCTCCACACCCCCGACCAGGGCAGCTCCTCTGGGCATCGTTGTTCTGCATGGGCTGCTGGGGCTGCGCGCAGCGCCTGGAAGCCGTGAGCCCCTGACGCTGCCCGTAAAAACCTGGGCGCTGGCGCGAGCACTCGCAGGGCACGGGCGCGCTGGCTCTGCACCGCGAGCGCAGCGCGGCGAAGCCGGGGGCCAACGGTGCCGGCGCCGCCCGCAGCACCGGCCGCAGCGGCAGGCGCGGCACGCGCCGCTGCGCCGCGGGCAGCGGCGGCAGGCTCGCCCCCCCCCCGCGGGGCCGAAGCGCTCCCCGAGGGCCGCGGGGAGGCCCGCGCCCGCCCTCCCTCTGCAGAGGGACAGACAGGCGGGCACTCCCGCGCCCGGGCACCGCGGGCACCACCTAGGAAGCGCTGCGGGTGCGGCGCCGGGGCGCCAGGACGCCACGGGCGGGTTGCGCAGCCTGCTCACGGCGCGCGCGCGGCCCGCGCGAGGTGCGCGCGCAGTCTGCGCGGAGTGCGGCCCGTCCGGGCCGCCTTTTGCCTGGGGGGCGCTGGCAGCTTCTCGACCGCAGGGACACCAGATCGGCCAGCAAGACCGCGCGGTGCAGCTCGACATGTGGACCACCCGAAGCATCGCGGCCAGCGAGCAAGGGAGTGAAGCCGCCATGGAGAGGATCGCTCGGCCACAGCCCCAAGGTAGAGCAGGGCAGCCGTTTCTGCCCACCAGGCGATTTGCACAACACCGTCCGCACTTGCGGAGCCCGCAGGGCGGTTCCCTGCGCCGAAAACAGCCCAGGGTAACGAGGGGCGCGTCGGTGTTGCACACGACTCCTGGCGTCGGCATACGCCGACAAGAGGCTCGTGTGCGCGGCCAAGTGCTCGTAGTGCTGGTCTGGGGACTCGGGACTCGTCATCCCCAGGAGTGGGGAGGTGGCCTCGGCCGCGGCGGATACTGGGTCAGCCCGCTTTTGATGTCACGGAGGCGCGGGCTTTAACCAGCCTCGAACATATCCCTATCCCTGAGATGGGCGAGCAAAAAGCGAGGACAATCTTAGGGATAGGCCCTCAGAAATTGAGGGAATCCTCAAGGTCGACATCGAGGTGAGGTGATGTCAAAAACAGGGATAGGGATATGCTTCAAACTGGTAAGATACTGGGTCAGCCCGCTTTTGACGTCGCGGAGGCGCGGGCCTGCCTCGACGAGGCCAGCGTCGGAAGGGGAGCCATCCGCTGGTCGCCTGCGGAGATGCGACTCTGCACAATGCGACACCCGGGCGGGGGGGCCACAGCACGGGCACCGTTGGCCGGCGTGCCCTTTTGCACCTCTCCTCACGCCGACCACGCCGCCAGCGCAGGGGGCCGACCCTGCGGGGCGCGAAAACGACCACAGCCACTGCTTCTCTTTTGTGCTGCCGCCTTCCAGCCAGCAGAAACAAAGCAGTGGTTGTGGTCATTTTCGCTACAGTCGAGGCGTTGACCTAAGGAACCCCAAATAAGGAACGAGGCCCCTATTTTCCATAAGTTAAACTTCGATTTCGCACCGAAAACCTAAGGAAAACCAAAGGCAAGCTGCGAAACAATTAAGGAACACGGAGCCCCTCCCCAACGAAAGGGATTCCTTCTTCAGGGCCCCGACTGTAAGCTTGGCACCAGGGAAATGACCACAACCACTGCTTCATTTTCGGCCGGCTGGAAGGCGGCGCAGACAAGAAGCGATGGCTGCTGTGGTCATTCTCCCGTCCCGCAGAGCCGTCGGTCAAAATGTCCGCGCGGGAAGTGCGCTGCCAGTCCTGGTCGCCGCCAGCCTGAAGGCTGTACCAGGCTAACCGTGCTGTTCGCTCCCGTGGCACCGGCTAGTACTAGCCGTGGCGTGCGAGCCCGTGCCTTGGCGCAGCGCCGCCAGTGCGCCCAGCCCCTGATGGCAGGTACAGAGCCGCAGGAAGGGTCGGCGCTGCGACAGCAAGAGGAAGGAGAAGGAGGACGGGGGAACAATGAGGGGAGAAGAAGCAAGCGGCAAGGACGACAGCGAAAGAAAAGCGCAACGTAGGGATCAGAAGGGGGAAGGAGTGAGGACGATGAGGAGTCAGGAAGAAAAACAAAAGAGCGAGGAGGCTCGACTTCGCCCCCGACCACCCCGCACACGCTGGAGGCCAGCACCACCATGAGGCCCCGAGTGGACCTGGGCAAGGCCGTCATGCTGCTCCCAGCCCACCGCTGCTTCACTGTCTGGCTGGCTACCCGCCTCATACTCGAAGGCACCAGAATGCGATCCGAGGCTATCTTCAAGGCGACTTGAGGCTGCCCCGAGATGTCCGGTACTACCCAAAGAGCTGCCCGAGACTACAACCCTAGATGAGGCGATCTGGAAGCCGACGCTTGGAATAGCTGTGGGGACCCACATGGATTTAGGGAGCCGAACTCTATACACCGACGCTTTTTCTGGCCTTGCATTGGAATTTGCACTGGAGGACCCTGGTCTGGTGTATACATGGTTCGTTGTTTTCCCGGGACATCGGGGATAAAATATACACCACACCACCTCAGCGTCGTCCTCGACCCTCACCAAGTCCTGGGATTGAAAAACAGCCCGCCACTGGTAATGTATATGCTCCAGTTTCCGAGGTTTCCCACACACAGACACACACACACACACACACAAGCATACACCTACACAATTCCTCGCGGATCCCCGTCCTGCCCATTCTGAAACGTCGCCTGGCCATGGCAGCACTTTCGCCTCCTGATTACCGTAAAGTCCACGTGGTGGTCAGTCATGACAGCGATGGTCCGAAAAGCTCGCTGCTAATCGGCATTGGGAAGCTGCTCATTACAAAATCTGCACGCCTGCAGGAAGCCGACGCCTTGCCGACTCCTGGATGAACATCGACACGAGGCCCGCACTTTTAAAACCCTATAACCACTGGGTCTGTATCGAATTTGGCCCCCACTCTCCCCCTCCGCATCCTGGCTATATTTCGCCCTTTTTATTATCATCATCACCACCACCACCATCATCGCCATCATCGTCATCATGTCGCCGCCGTCGTCATCATCGCCGTCATCACATTCGTCATCACCACCATATCCATCAGCAGCAACGTCATAATCAACATCACCATGAACACCGAAACCAGCATCCATAGCAGTATTATAATCACCACCATCATCCTCAACCGAATCATAAGCCTGCTCTCCTCATCGTCATGCCCATCACCGTCGCCACCATAATCCGCATCACCACGATCCTCGCCAACAGCAACAACATTAACGACAGCACCAACAGCAATAATAACAACAGCTGTAACAGCAAAAACAACAATTGCAACAACAGCAACAAACACAACAGCAGCAGCAGCAACAACAGCAACAATAAAAACAATCACAACCACAACAGCAGCAACAAGCATGTTAAGACTGTTCGTTCTCACCTGCTCGAAGGCTAACCAACACGTACATCCCAAACCTTCGATACCCGCCCTCTTCGTCTTCGATCGTGCCCCCTTAGAGGTGTATCTTTCCTACCTGCAACGCGTATTTCGTGCAGCCCCCAAGGCAGGGGAAGAAAGAACGCATGGAAGGAAGGAGCAAGGGGCAGGCGGGTTGCTGAAGCGTGCGTCCTGCATGCATCGCGAGGATTTCTCGAGCGACAGCGCGATTCCCAAATAAATCGTGAGGAAATCCACAGCAATAGCGTGATTTTTTAATGTCGAGGGCGCGGCATCTGAATAAATTGCGAAGAAGTTCAACCCGAGAGCACGATTATGTTTTTCTTCCGGCGCAGCTGAAACCCGTGCGCGGCCAGCCAGATGTAAGAATTGAGGGTCAAAATGCATGCAATTCGTCCTCGTGGGTCAAGGCGCTGCGCAAGCTGCGAGAAATTCGGAGCCCTGGTCGAGAGCCACGGCTTCCGCGACGAAAGCAGACACGACGTCGACCTCATCCAAAGACACACCTGCCATAGAGACAACATGGGAAGCGTCGCTCCAGACAGCCTCGAGAATCCAAGCAGCTGCGGAGCACGCGTCGCCCCGGCGACAGCCGTCGCAGTGGACGACCAAATTCGCGTCACGAGGCTGGCGGCCAGCAGCTACTGGAAAAGACGTTTGCCAAAAACGTGTCGCGTCCATGGTGAAATTTGCCAGGTGGTCTGGTTTCACACTGAGTTCGCGGCGCCTCCACACTACAGGGTCCCCATGACACTGGTGAGGCAGGACTCCTCTATCGAAAAGTGCTGCCAAAACGGCGCAAATCAGGCCGAAGATGCAGCCGTGGTCGGAGCCGTCCGGGAGGATGTTCCCCATGATGACATCCACGGGGGGGTTGACAATTACAAATGATGATGACGATGATGATGATGATGATGATGATGATGATGATGGTGATGAAGCGGCCCGCGCGGTCCTCCCACTCGATCGACACTTCCTGGAAGTTGACGTATGCATGTGATGCTGGCAAACCGTACAATGTGTATGTCTTCACCCGATGTCGTTTGGGCAGGGGGCCCTGCACTACCGCCTCGGTTGTCGCGGGGGCGCGCCCCAGGACTGGGAGACCCCATCGGCGGCAGATCCACTCACCAAACTCACCGAAATGCTGCATCCACGCTTGCAAAGAAGCGGCAACCGTCGCAGACACTCCTCCAATCGATGCCGAAATAATTGCAGAGCACATCTTCCCAATGAGAGAAATTCCCTCTGGTAGCATGGACCATATCCAATCGCAACCTGTGTTTGTAATCTCTCGCATGTTTGTACGGCTCCCAACAATCACGCGCGCGGAAACTCCGACCTTTCTTCAAAAACTCAGCTCTGGCGCGCTTTGGCAGCGAAACCTCGCGCTATGCGTTTTTGAATACAGACTTGCACGCGGACGTAGACCGGGCATAAGTTGTCCATATGCTTCCACTTTCGTATCAAAGCCGACGTGCGGCAATTCGCGGCCATGGCACTCTCATCTGGTTTGCGGCGAAGCCGGAGCACGTCACGGAGGCACTGCCACTCCCAGGCCTTGAGTTTGCAACGAACCTGCTTGTTGATGTGCCACGCGCATGAACCCAGAAGGGCACTGGCCGACGGCCCAGCTGACCAGGCGCGCAATTTGTTTCTCACCGTGCCCCCACCACGAAACGCTTTGATGTGCGCCCAATAATGTGCCTCTGCTCGGTGTTAGCGATGCTCCAGTACCTCCATTGTTTCTGCTTTGGCTGTAATGAAAGCCCCGAGTAAGACCAAGTGGGAAACCATCGAAAACGTAAGTGGCGTTTCAACCCCAGTCTCCGTGATGATAGGCGTCTGCGTGCACTCGTCTATAAGACTCCCACATACCACGCACTCCAAAGAATCTGGCTCCAAGCGAAACTTGATTTCAGCGAGGGCCGTCGACAGCTCCTGCGCCATGATCTGGAACTGTTGCAAGCTGCTCCCAAACATGATGCAATTGTTACCCCAGATGAGGTGTGTCAGCGGCGGGTCCCTTGCATCGAACAGTACTCCGAAGTTACGACTGCGCCAACTGCGGACCAAAGGGTCAAGCACGAACTCGACCATGCAGTTGAAAAGTTCTGGCGTCACCACGCCGCCCTGCTTCCCACCGACCTCCAAGGGAAATGGGTCGCTGGCCGGCATTCCCGGCAGAGCCATGGAGCATAACAAGTTTGACATATCCCGCAGCATTGCCCCAACGAGGTTCGGGTGAAGGCCTTTAGCCAACAAGATTCGTGGTGAATGTGCGTGGCGAATCCTATCGAAGGCTGTTTTGATCTCCAACATCCCAACAATCAACGGCATGGCCCCCTGCCTGGCAACAGTGACAATTTGGGTCACAATCGCAATTATATCGTCATATGCGAAACCAGCTTTGAAACAAAGCGTCGCCATGGAACTGGGCGGCACAGACTGCCGGAAGGGAGGTTATATGCTACGGGCGTACCACTTTCCAAAACAATACAATGTACAGATGTACCGGAAATCTTCGAACACCAGCGGCGTAGCTATTTTTGGAAGTCCGGAGTTTGGGATTTGTTTTCCATATAGAGGGGTCCCCGGAGTTGTCCAAATACCGTCGCCGAGATAGCGTCCAGACTTTGTAGACGAGGTAAAATGGAAATCACTTGTAAATCTCCGGCGGTGCCCCGTCAGCCCCCGCCGCTGTGCCAGACTTTATGCCCGCAATGCCCGCGATGACGTGGAAGAAGTCCAAAGAAGGCGGGGCTCGACCATCCGGCCCGGCACTCCGGCCAATGCAGTCCAGCGTCGCCAGACGTTGGGCTTGCGCCTCGTGGTCGTTAGTCTCGTCGCCGAACCGTTGAGCACCAAGAACTGTCAGTCCATCACGCCAGATATCCCTGTTCGCGGTCATCTCCCCGTTGACGTTCAATCACACTGGAATTGGGAGTTTGGGCCGGCAAGTCCCCAATCGAGTCAAGTGCTTCTCCCCCCGCCGCCGGCGAGCGTTACGACCAGCCCTCCGGAGCTGTCGCACAGCCTGCATCCGGTCTGCCCCAGAAGTGTTTGCAACCAGACGCCGCGCCTGCTTCACCGGCACTCCGATAGAACCTTCCTGGACTGATCTCCGCTTCCCTGTGGTATCGTGGTCGATGGACTGGGCTGTGTGGAGTAAGCCACTCTGCATCTCTGCCAAGTCGCAATCGCGAAAGCGTAAACACTGCAAGCGAAAGCTGTCCAGACATTCCTCTGTGATTTCATAAATTGTGAAGCAGTCCCGCGCGAGAGCGCGATTAGAGAATGAACCGTGGGGAAGTATCAGGCGGAAGCCGTCGTTGTTGTAAAAGGGGGGCCAGGGGCGCAGATTGGTGACACTTCACTTCCCCTTGTAAGAAAACAGGGTGCGAGCCCCAGAAAAACAAGTGGCACGCGTGCTCTGGCTCTTGCACATGAGGAGAGGAGGAGACGCAGGTGGGGGGATCGAGGAAACAAGGAGGAGGAGGAGGAGGAGGAGGAGGAGAAGGAAGGAGGAGGAGGAGGAGGAGGAGGAGAAGGGGCAGGTGGGGCCAGGGCGCCCCAGTGCTGAATCAGCGGTTGTCGATTGGGACCTGCTCGAAAGAGTTTTTGTTGGCAGCTGAGGCGCGATATATTTTCGAGGCTGGGCCAAGTGGAGGCTGGGTCCAGGGACAGGGTCAGCGGGGCGAGGAGGGAGGCTGGAGCAACGACCAGGGGGGTAGGCTGGGTCCAGTGCCAGGACCAGTGGGGCGAGGGCGGCTGGGGCCAGATCAGGGATGGAGGCTGGCGCCAGGGCCAGGACCAGGACCAGGGGGACGACGACGAACGAGAATAAAGGGTCCAGCGCGAGAGGGGGCTGGGTCCAGGGCCAAGGCCAGGGGTACGACGACGAGCGAAAACGAAGGGTCCAGGGAGAGGGGGCTGGGGCCAGGGCCAGGGGAGGACGCTGGGTCCAAGGACAGGACCAGGGTGGCGTCGACGAGGGGGTCTGGGTCGAGGACCAGGATGAAGGCTGGGTCGACGGCCAGGACCAGGGGGGACGACGACAAACAAAAATAAAGGGTTCGGGGCGAGGAGGGCTGGGGCCAGGGCCAGGCGAGGAGGCTGGGTCCAGGGCCAGGTTCCGTGCCGAAATAAAGCGGTCGGGGCGGAGGGGGCGCGCTGGCTGGTGGGGCCGGCGCCGTGCCAGAGTCAAGCTGTCGGGGCAAAGGGGGTGCGCTGGCTGGTGGGACCGGCGCCGAGGGGGCGCTCTGGCTGGCGGGCTGGCTGCGCTGGCTGGCGGGGGAAGGATGCGGAGGACCAGGGGGCTGCTTCGGCATGGCTGCTTTAGAAAGTAAGTGCGGAGGGGGCGCGATGTGAGGCGCGGGCCAAAGGGCCGCGCCGAAGTAAAGTCGTCGGAGCCCTTAGACAACCTGTGCAAGAGAATGAAAGAATCTGGGCGGAAGGCGCGCGCTGGCTGGTGTTTGGGAGGATGCGGAGGGAGCGCGCGGGATGGGGGAGAAGGGTGCCGTGCCGAAATGAAAGGGTCGGGGCGGAGGGGGCGCGCTGGCTGGTGGGGGGAGGTGCGGAGGGGGTGCGTGGGATCGGGGGGGGGCCGTGCCGAAATAAAAGGGTCGGGGAGGAAGGGGCGCGCTGGCGGGAGGGTGCGGGGATGGTGGTGTGGGTGCGGGGGGAGGGGTGGGAGTGCCGTGCCGAAATGAAAGGGTCGGTGGGCGGGAGGACGCGGGGGAGGCGCGCGGGATGGGGGGCGGCCGTGCCGAAATAAAAGGGTCGGGGCGGAAGGGGCGCGCTGGCTGGGGGGTGGGGGGGATGGGGGGGGGGGGGGGGGCGCGCGGGATGAGGGGGGTGCTGTGCCAAAATAAAACGGTCGGGGCGGAGGCGGCACGCTGGCTGGTGGGTGGGGGGGATCCGGAAGGGCCCCGTGGGATGGGGGGGGGGCGTGCCGAACTAAAAGGGTCGGGGAGGAGGGGGCGCGCGGGCGCGCTGGCTGCTGGGCGGGAAATGGTAGTGTGGGTGGGTGGGGGGGTGCCGTGCCGAAGTGAAAGGGTCGGGGCGTAGGGGGCGCGCTGGCTGGTGGGTGGGGAGGATGCGGAGGGGGCGCGCGGGATGGGGGGGGTGCCGCGCCGAAATGAAAAGGGAGCGAGGAGGGCAAGGACGCGGGGCGAAGAGGGTAGCAACTGGGCCACGCAGGACAGCGAGGGGGCCACAAAGGGCGACAGCGGGGCCACGAAGGGTATGCACATGGGGCCACGACGGGCGCGAACAAGCGGGGGCCACGAAGGGCATACGTATCTTGGGCCGCGGAGGGCAAGGACGGGGCCACTGAGGGCAGCAGGGCCACGAAGGGTAGCGAGGGTGCCACGACGGGCATGCACATGGGGCCACGACGGGCGCGAACGAGCGGGGGCCACGAAGGGCATACATATATGGGGCCACGAAGGGCAGCGAGGGGGCCACGAAGGGCTGCAACGGGGCCACGAAGGGCAGCGAGGGGGCCACGAAGGGGCTGCAACGGGGCCACGAAGGGCAGCGAGGGATCAACGAAGGGATGCAACAGGTCCACGAAGGGCAGCGAGGGGGCCACGAAGGGCTGCAACGGGGCCACGAAGGGCAGCGAGGGGGCCAAGAAGGGCTGCAACGGGGCCACAAGGGGCAGCCAGGGGGCCACGAAGAGCTGCAACAGGGCCACGAAGGGCAGCGAGGGGGCCACGAATGGCTGCAACGGGGCCACGAAGGGCTGCAATGGGGCCACGAAAGGCAGCGAGGGGGCCACAAAGGGCTGCAACGGGTCCACGAAGGGCAGCGAGGGGGCCACGAAGGGCTGCAACGGGGCCACTAAGGACAGCGAGATCCCGATTCCTAAGAAATCTGTGAGGGAGTCCTAAGCGTGAGCGCGACTCCTGGGTGCCTGAAGGTCGGGAGCGCGGCGCTTGAGTAAATTGCGGGAAATTCCAATGCAACGACGCTATTATTAAGTAAATTGCAAGCAAGTGTCCCGCCAAAGCGCGACTCCAGGGCGCCGAGAAAGCGATTCCTGAATATATTGTAAGGAAGTCCCCAGCGAGAGCGCGATTCCTGAATAAAACGCGAGGAAGTCTCAGGCGGGAGCGGGGGTCCTGGCTAAAGTGTGCAGAAGTATCAGGCGGGAGCCGTTGCTGTTGTAACCCGGGGGCCAGAGGCCCAGTTTGAGGAGGAAGACATTCCCAGGGAAAAAAGCAGGGTGCAAGCGCCGGGAGGGGCACTTCAATTTAAAAAACTACAATGTGCACCAGAGGGGGATCAATAATCCGAATTTTCAATAACGAGAGTTCAACATTAACAACAACAGCAGCAACAACAACAATAACAACAACAAAAACAACAACCACAACAACTACAGCAACAGCAACAGCAGCAGCAACAACCATAACAACAGCCACAGCCACAACCACAACCACAACAGCAGCAGCAGCATGGCCAACCACACCAACAACACCAACAACACAACAACAACAACAACAACAACAACAACAACAACAACAACAACAATATCAACAGCAAGGAAGCAGCAGCAACAAAAGCAACAACCAAAACAGCCTCATCATAATCATCATGATCATCATCATCATCCTCAGAATCGGCATCAGCATCAGCATCAGCATCATTATCATCACCATCATCATCATCATCAACATCACCATCATGATCACCATCATGATCATCAACATCATCATCAGCAGCATCAGCATCATCATCAACATCCGCATCATCATCAGCAACATCATCATCATCATCATCATCATCATCATCATCATCATCATCATCATCATCATCATCATCATCATCATCATCATCATCGTCACCATCACCCTTGTCTCTCTGACCTCCTCCTACTCCCCCTTGTCACCCATAAAGATGTGGGGAAAACCACCCCGTGGTTCTCGAAGACCCCAGAATCAAATCCACAAGCTCAGCGTGCAAACAAAAGACGTGCCCTGACCCTTCTCATCATCATGATCCTCCTCATCATCATCATCATCAGCATCATCATCATCATCATCATCATCATCATCATCATCATCATCATCAGCAGCATCATCATCATCCTCATCCTCATCCTCATCCTCATCCTCATCCTCATCCTCATCCTCATCATCCCCATCATCGTTTTTCTTCCAGCCTCCTCCGCCTTTGCCTCCTGCGGTCTTCAGACCTCGGCTAGCCCCTGCGACAAAACCACGAGGACCTCGGACTCTAGGATACCTGACGTGTCTCGAGTCGTGCGAAAGGGAGGGATAGCAAAAAGGGGGGGGAGAATCAGCTCGCGTAGCTGATTTTCCCCGCGCCTCCCAGCGCCGGAGGCGGCTATGTATCGAGGAATGGGCCCCTCGGTGGGGCCGAAACCAGCTGCATGCAGCAAATTTCGTAACCCCCCATTTCCCAATGCCCCCCTTTCGCCCGGCCCGAGTAGCATGTGGCATCACCCTGGCGTGACTGTTCCTCCGCCTCTTCCTCGTGCTCCTCCTATTCCTCCTCCTCCTCCTCCTCCTCCTCCTCCTCCTCCTCCTCCTCCTCCAGCTGACCACAGGAAGGCACCCTTGTCCGGCGGCTGCATGGCACCTGCGGGGAGAAGCTCGAGGGCAGGTGTGGCGCGAGATCCCTGCAGAGCAAGGCCCGACGGGCGGGAAGTCACGCCTCCGAAGCAGCGGAAGGCACCCTTGTCCGGCGGCTGCATGGCACCTGCGGGGAGAAGCTCGAGGGCAGGTGTGGCGCGAGATCCCTGCAGAGCAAGGCCCGACGGGCGGGAAGTCACGCCTCCGAAGCAGCGAACAATCCCCCAGACGGTGCTCCTCCTCCTCCTCCTCCTCCTCCTCCTCCTCCTCCTCCTCCTCCTCCTCCTCCTCCTCCTCCTCCTCCTCCTCCTCCGCATCCTCCTCCTGTTCCTCCCCCTCCAGACGAACACCAGTCGGCGCCCTGGCCCGAGCCACTGACAATGTCCCAGACCCTGCTTCCTCGCGCTCTTGGGCAGCTGGGCCCCGGTCTCGGTGCGGCCGGCTCGTGGCCGCCCTGCGCCGCGCGTCGCCGAGGTGCGTCGCCGCCGCCTGCACTGGGCCCCTGGTGTCGGTGCAGCCGGCTGCTTTGTCCCCCCGTCGCCACCCAGTGCCGCCGTTCCGTTGCACTGCGCTGCACTGCGTTGCATTGCGTTGCGCTGCGTGGCATTGCGTTACACTGCGTTGCACTGTGTTGCATTGCGCTGCACTGCGTTGCATCGCGCTGCATTGCGCTGCATTGCGTTGCGCTGCGTTGCGCTGCGTGGCATTGCGTTGCACTGCGTTGCATTGCGTTGCCTTGCGCTGCATGGCGTTGCATCACGCTGCATTGCGCTGCATTGCGCTGCATCACGCTGTATTGCGCTGCATTTGCGTTGCATCGCGCTGCATGTCCTTGCGTTGCGTCGCATTGCGTTGCGTTGCTTGCGTTGCGTCGCTTTGCGCCACGTAACCACATGGATTGCACCACCAAAATTGCACCACCTACATTGATTGCACCATCTAGATTGCATCGCATACATTGCAAGGAATCACTGCTTGGGGCCCACGCTAACTAACATTGTACTCTAGAGATTCTAGGCTGGTGGGATACAAAGTTACTTCCGCTGCCAAGTACGGAATCGCCCCAAGGCCACCAGGAGCCGCCCTGGGCTTTCAACAGGGACGCTTGGCGGCCCGAATTTTGGACCCGTGCTTGTCCTGTCCAACAGGTTCCCACTTGCCGTCGGCCCGCTCAGCCGCACCCCTCCCCCCGCCACTAAATATAAAGCGCCGAGAAGAGGCTCGACAGGGGTCGAGATGGATACGATGGCCCAGCAAGATGGACACGAGGGCTCGAGATGGCTTCAAAGGTGGCCCAGGCCAGCCCGAGAAGGTACAAGATTGCGTCGATCACGCTGAACAGGATGGCCCCGGAAGCTATGGTGTCTATTTTGGGCCGTCCTGGGGGCCCTCGGGTCCGGCCCCAGAAGCCGTCATCGTTAGGGGGATGTTCACAATGCGACTGGGAATATAGGCGTAAAGATGTGTACATGTAGATGCGCATATTACATACATGTACATATATATATATATATATATATATATATATATATATACACGTGTAGATATCAACGAGAGAGGCCACAAATAGGCCCCAAGAAGACCCCAAGGCGGCCCAAGAGAGTCCCAAGACGGCAAAAGCCGCTCCCCACGTTCGGTATCCGTTCCCCCGCTTCCCTGCTTCCCCTGGTTGCAAACAGCTTCGACCGCTGACCGCCGCGCAGCAGACTTCCCCTGCAGATGCGAATGCCCCGTTCTTGAAGCGCCCCAAGACGGCCCAGAGGCCCCCGAGACGGCCTCCGAGGGCGCCACGCGGCCCGAGAGACCCCCAGGCGGCCAGAGAGGCCCCCAGGCTGTCCGAGACAGCGCAGGCGGCGGCGGTGATTCGCCGTCGGCGTCTTCAAGCCACCGCCCCCTGCTCTTGCCTCAGGGGTGCCTGGCACGCCACACGTGCGCAGCACCTGAGGAAAACGGTGTCGCTAGAGCCTCGCAGAAGACAACCGAGCTCATCTTCGAGACGAAAGACGTGACGACCATGACGCACAATCTCAGGGTCGAATCCCAGCTTCCTTCATGAACTACTCCAAGTGATGGGGCACCGCTTGGCCCTTCCAAAAGATTCCAGCGCGGTTTCGGCAGCCGCACACTTTGCGCACAATTCTCCGTTAGCGCGTCTGTCCAAGATGGATCCAAGAGGGTCTTCAGGAGGGCCCTGGTCGGCATCAAGTCAATCGAAGATGGCAAAAAATTCAAGATGCCTCCAAGACGGCCCAATGGCCCAGAGAGGCAACCGTCATTTGTTTCGCTCTGGTGGTCCAATGTGTGTTCGCGTGATGGCATTCTGGTCCTAGGAGCGTCCAAGACGGCCGAAATGGCCTCTATGACCACCCCAAGACAGCTTGAAGCAGCGGCGAGCGAGGGGGGGAAATGAGAATGGGTGGCCCTTCTCAGAAGGCTCAGTAATCCCGCGGCCTTCTGAAAAAATGTTCTAAGCCTTCCCCGAATATACAGCTTATCAGAGGACCGAACCTTCTGAGAAGCCCCGCCGCCTTCTGAGAAGGTCGTCTCCTTCTCATTTCCCCTCCTCGCTCGCCGCCGATCAAAGAGTCCTTGGGAGGGTCAAAATTGCAAAGACGGCCCTAGAGAGCCCCAGGAAACCCCCAAGGCGGCCCAGAGAGAGGCCCCCAGGGCTGCCTCCAAGGCGCCAGGCGGCCCAAGAGCACCCTAAAGCAGCCCCAGAGAGCCCCCGGGCGGCTCAAGAGGGCCCCCGCAGGCCCCAAAGGTAAGAATAGAGCCCCGAGACAGGCAACAAAAATGGCCCCCGATGTTCTCCCAGTGGTTTCCCTAACATATTAGGAACACGCGGTCCCCACCATACCCTGTCCACACATACGATGAAAAGTCCACAGCACAGGCGCTTACAACATGTAGGGCGGCGATGACTCACCTGAGGCTTTCCCTATTCCAAAACACACGCACACACACACACAAAAACAACTCATTGTGACAAATGTAGTTGAGTATACGGATAAGTGTGATTATGTGTACATGGATCCGCAGAAATGCATATCTGTGAATGTGAATACGTGTATCTGTACACGGCTAGATGTGTACATGTATGTGTACACATACATGAGCAAAATATGTGTGCACACGTATGTACATGTATCCGCCACTGTGCCTCTGGGCACGGAGTGAACGTGTCCTCAGGTATTCTGCCTAATCCTCGAAGCCTCAATCTCCACTCCTCAGGAATCTCCCAGCTGCCTGGAGCCCAAATTCTCAATGTTCCTGGGGCTTGCCGCGTCTTCTCGGGGCTTGTCGTATGCCTGTTTCGAGCCCAGAGCGGACCCCAACACGGGCTAAGAGGGCCCCAAGAGGGCCCCGAGTCGCCGAACGATCGCTCCAAGACGCTAAGGATGGCCCTCAGACGGCCCAGGAGGCCTGCAAGACGCACAAAGAGGTCTCCAAGAGGGCCTCCAGGAGGCCCCCAAGAGGTCCAAATTGTCGATTTTCCAGAAGGTGTTTGGCGTTCTCGTCTTTTCTACTTCCCGACTCTCCCAGACTGCCCAGAAGGCCCCAAGATCGCCCCAAGGCGGCCCAAAAGGCCTCCGAGAGGGCCCAAAAACGGCCCAAGAGGGCCCCAAGACTGCCAACGAGCCCCAAAGACAGCTCCAAGAGGGGCCTAGATGGGGGGGGGGGGGGAATATTTCCAGCCCTCGGCCCCGAGGGACCCCAGGAGGCCCCAAGAGGTCCCCAAGAGACCCCCAAAGGCCCCAAGAGGGCCCCAAGAATGCCCAAGAGACGCCAAAGACGGCCAACGAGGCCCCGAAGACGGCTCCAAGAGGAGGCCTAGATGGGGGGACCCGAACAGCTATGTCGAGCCCTCGGCCCCAAGGGGCCCCCAGGAGGCTTCAAGAGGCCCCCAAGAGGCCCCCAAGAGGGCCCCCAAGAGGCCCCCAAAAGGCCCCCAAAAGGCTCCTCAAAGGCCCTGAAACTGCTCCCAAGAGGCCCCCGAGGGCGCTCCGACGAGACCCCAAGAAGCATCCCTGAGAAGACTGACCCACAACCCAAGCACGGTGGCCCGATGGGCCAAAGGCTACTCTCGCTCTCTCTCTCTCTCTCTCTAACTCCCTCTCTTTCTCCCTGCTGTAGTTATATATGTTTATATGTCCCTCTCGCTATCTCTATCTCTCTCTCTCTCTCTCTCCATCTCTCTCTCTCTCTCTCTCTCCCTATGTATATACAGAAATGTATATATATATATATATACAGAGAGAGAGAGAGAGAAAAAAAAAAAAAAAAAAAAAAGAGAGACAGAGAGACAGACAGACAGACAGACAGACAGACAGACAGACAGACAGACAGACAGACAGACAGACAGACAGACAGACAGGCAGGCAGGCAGACAGACAGCCAGACGCGTATGTATACATAACTATGTATATAGACATACATACAAACATACATACATACATACTTACATACATACATACAGATCTATACACATATATATATATGTATACATATATATATATATATATACTGACCGTCGCTGTACCACTGCAGGGTCCCGAGTGGGACTTCTTCGTGGTCTCTTGAGGTCTTTTTCAAGCCGTCTTGGGGGCCTCCTGGGCCGTCTTGGGGCCCTCTTGGGCCGTCCTGGCCTCGTCTTGGGGCCCTCTTACGCGCCTGTTGGGCCATCTTGGAGCGATCTCGGGGGCCTCTTCGGTCGTCTCGGGCGCCCTGGAGACCGAGAAGCCGAGTATGCGAAAATTGCGCCGAAATCGAAGGATAACCCATGATATGTGCCTCCGAGGGACCTCTTGCGAGTCGTCTTAAAGCCCCCTTGAGCCAGCTGGGGGGCCCGTTGGGGCGTCGATTGGCCATCTTGGGCACATCTTGGGCCATCTTGGGACCGTCGTGGCCGTCTCGGGGCGCTCGTCGGGCCCTCCTGGGGCCTCCTGGGGCCCTCTGGGGCCGTCTTGGGGCCGTCTGGGGCCGTCTTGGGCCGGGCCCTCCC